TTTTCAGTTGAAGTGAAATTATGTAAACACAGATAGTATTTTGGCTCTTCTGTGTATATTGATATTAATTATTTTTATAGGTATAAAATATACCACTATTCTAAACTTCCACAAACTATCTGTCATGTATTCTCTACTGCACTGAAATATTGTCTAACAATATAATGTGCAATTATTGTCACTTCAAAAGGTGTAGGTCAAAAAGCTCTATCATACATATGTTAGTTTTATCTAAAATTAACTGACCTAAAAACTAATTGATGTTCTTTTTTTTAATGAAGACTTATCAAAAATGAAAGGAATTTCATTTTCAATTTCAGATGGTTGGATGACCTCTGTGCTTTGAAACTAGGTTTCAAAAGTGCTAAGTGCTAAGAATAACTATATAAGTTTTCAGAATATGTTGAAATTAAACTTCTACTGGAAAATGAATAGGTGAACCTTATATAAGTAGCAAGGGTCAACTCTTTACTTGAATAAAATCAAAACTAGCATGTAGTCAAATAATAACAATTCAAAAGGTTCTAGATGTCTAAATAATTAAATTAAATAGAAAATGATTGTTACATTTGGACTCCACTATTAGTCATGGTCTTATCCTGAAGACCTCTTTTGTGTTTTGATATGGGGAGCTGAGGGAAGAGAAATAATTGCCATAGTTTACTATTCCATCAAAAAATTATGAAGTTGATTTCTTTTGACTGTGATATTTTTGAACTACATAAATATCAACCTCTGATTAATACAGCTTGATTGTTTGAATAGGCCATAAAGGTTTAGGATTCAGGCATAAACTTGCATAATTTAAAATGCCTGCAGAAATATCTAATCTTGTTATTGATGTCCTGAAGCACAGGATTAAAAAAGGTTATATCCAGTTTTAAAGAAAAATAAATACAAATACATGGTTAGTATCCAGATTTATCATTAAATCATAATTTCATACAAAATAATGAGATTAAAAAATACTTTAAAAGAACATGTCATAAGAAAGTTTGAAGCATCTAAAATTGAAGCATCTAAATAAGCTATTATACTTTAAGCGTAATAGTATTTTAATAATATGCAAAAGTTTCATTCAGCTAAATATCCAGTTTTTGAAAAGTATCCCAGGTAAAATGTTCCATTTACAGTTAAATCAGAGCTCAAATATTCACAAAATAATTTCTGCTGCTAAATGTAGTATTTTTGATAACTATCTGCTATCCAAAGCAATGTATAATTATTCTATTTAGAATCAATATGTTTATGTATTGTTCCCAAGATATAGCCTGAAGGCATGACAATGTTCATACTATTAGTGTACAATATAAGACATTGTGCATAGCTTGTTATTACTAATAAACTGTGCCAATAAATGCTATTTTATTATGCTTGACATCAAATTTCAAATCATACCTATTTGTCCTTGGCATTATAAGTAGGTTTATACAATAATATTTGTGTTAATTCATAATAAAATTATTAACTGAAAATATAAATATAAATATATAATGTGAAAATATGTAGATTTTATACATTATTGTATAAAATTTTCAATTTGTCACAGGTTTGCAATGTGGAAAATAGTTAAGATTTCATTGCACAAAGAACATAAATATGTTCCATATTGTAGATTATTTATTTTAAACAAATGTTAAGTGGAGGTAAAATTGATTATGAAACAATTGCATTACAAAATACCAAGCAAAGATATGTTTTAACAATTTCTTTACAGTGGAGTCACTTTTCAAAGGAGACTAAAGGCATATAGAATTACAATAAGAAAATAAATTGCAGCTATTCTTTTTTTAAAATTTTGAAACTGTGCTTGCTTTTGTTTAGCAATGGATTTTAAAGAATAACTCTTCCATTTATTTCTTTAAGCAGCAATTGAAAATATTTACTACTAGGCAGTACCTAATTTTAGGTTTTAAGTGCTTTAACAGCTCTATGAAATATGATCAGCAGCTGCTATATAAAAGTATGCCGAATAAACTCCTCTTGTTAAAAAAAAGCCCTCTAAGTAGTTTGAATATTTTCATTTTTAAAGGTTACACCAAGAACTTTATCAAAAATTACTTCAATAAATAAAATTAAGTCCCAGGTGACATTACCTGAAAATGAGAAGGCAAATATCTAATAAAACTTTCCCTCTTCTGTAAAATAAGCACAGCAGTAGATTTTGTCCATGATAGCTTGCAAAATAATTTGGTTCTGCCATTTTCAAAACAATGCAATATTGTATATAATAATTTAACTATTTGGGGGGGAGGGGCTATTTGTTATAGTTAAGCTTCTGCACATCTTTCATTTCCATCGGTATTAATAATATTTTGATGCATTAATATTCACTTTGAAAAATTCCTTTGATATCAGAACTCCCATATTTCTGTCTTTAAAAATAGAGATTAAAAGCCTACTATAATATTAATAACATTATATAATTATAAAGATTGCACAAATAAAGAGTAAAAATGATGGCAAGATAAGTTGTACATTTATTAATCCTTTCTTACAGTCAAGACAGGTCCTACTATCAAAAAATTCAAAATTATTATGTCTCATTAGAAAAAAGTATTATTGATTTAGTACTAGTATTTGTATATTCATTTATTTATTTAATTAATTTCTATAGTATACCTCACTATAAAGATACTTGACTACCAATAATGCTTATAACAAAGCTATAAGCACATGGCTTTTATTTTATAATAAGGATACCTTAAAAAATACTGCCACAAACAAAACAAAACATTGGTAATTGATAGGATACTGCTTAATAAAAAAATCTTACACTAAACAAAAATGCCAAGCATTTTAAAAACACATGGATGAAATTAAGAAAAATATCTGCATTCTTAATGAAACTACTGGACTGAAATATGGTACATTCACGTATTTGTATCATGATTATGACTGTAATGCTTCTAGATTAAAGGAAAAAAATACAGTGTTTGGATCTCTATTTCTGGCTGGAAAATGAAGGATACACATCAAATGCAGAGAAACCTATGTATGAACTACGTTGAACTGGACTGAAACCAACTGAATACATTCATTTATGAAAACTAATCATTTAATCAATGTGTCTCTTAATATTCTAATGTAAAGTTAATTTTATATTCCAAAAGGACTAATTATGTCGCCTGCTGTCCATTTGTCAAGCCTTGCTCATTTTAACCATGGCAGATATAAAAGCATGAATAGATCAGTTTTATGTCAGGCTTTACTAACAATAATTTTCTTTCAGGTAGATAAAATCCAGAGTCTTTGGAAAATAAAAACTCTGTATGCCAATATCACTGCATAATGAAATAACTGCAAGTAGAAGAGCAACATACAATAGCCCTAATAAAAGACAAGATAGCTTGGATGTATTAAATCTGTCACTATTTAGCTGCAGAATTTTCACAGAATGCTAAATTTGAGGTGGTCCAGAACATACTATTTTGTCATAAAGCCCACATTCTTTCTTTTCTCCTGTACTAAAGCTTCTAAATGAGAACACAACATCTAATTAATAACTAAAGCCCTTGGGACTGAATATAAAATAACTTCAAGGAGGACCAGCCACAAAAAAGTATTCCACGTGGTAGTATTTTAAGATCAAAACACAAGTCATTGATTGAATAATCTTCATCGCACCTCACTCACCTGATCTACAAAGTCAATTCCTCCGTTGCTCAAAATAATTTTAAGGAGGGAAGTTTGCTAAGTGTTAAAATAGCTCATAAACGTTTCGGGTTTTTTTTAAAATCTATACACAAACAATGCGGGTGGAACCGCTTACATCCCCCTTTAAAAAAAAAAATCCTATGTTACTCGAACCTTAAAAACAAACTTCCTCATTAAACCCCTGCATGCCAAACTTACTTCTTCAGGATAAACATGAAGACAGACCGGAAAGTTCCAGGCTTTCAATGCAACAAAGTAAGGTACGATTTAGCTTCAACATTTATAATCCAAGTTAGGGGAGAAAAAAGAAAAACCCGATTGTTTCCTAAAAAGGCTGGCAGAGAGTTTCTCCAATTGAAAGTACAAGTAATTTACAAATAATAATAATAACTCCCCCGCCCGTCAGAGTTTGGGAGATTTTTCACAATTTTCCCCCGTCCCCCACTTCAACCCAACCCAACCCAACCCACCCCAGCGTCTCGATTCCCTGCCGAAACGCCAACTCTGTTCCGGTTTGAAGGAAGTCCAGTTGAGCGAAAAGAAACACAACGTTTAGAGAAAAAAAAACAAGCGACCTTTGGAAACAGAAGCCGAAAAGTGAGGGGGAACCCAACCCGGGGCGTCAAAAGCGGCCGTCTGAATCTCTCTTACCGGTTATGTCACGTTTTGTTATTCTAGCGACCCTAAGCGACGGGAGGAGGCAAAGAAACCCGAGATGGTGGTGGGGAAACTCAGGACGGCCGAATTTGGAATTCTGGCCAAAAAAGCCAAGGCGAACTTTTTCTCAAATGCGACGTTTCGTTCCGAAGAGGCCTGACTTAACTTACTCCGGAGGCGATGTCCTCGGTTCTCTAAGGGGGGGAGGAAAAAAAGGCACCGGGGCGGCAACCCGAGTGCCCTCGAGCCCGCGACAACACCCCCCTTCCCCGACCCTCCCAAACAGAGCCGTCCCTCTGAGGAAAAGTTTGCTTGGTTTTTATGCGTTTCCCCCCCTCGAGACCCAAACGCACACGCGTCCTCTATTCCCAGGTCCCGGGACGCGAAGGGCAAAATGGGACTTGGGGAGAGCCACTCGCCGGGCACCGAAGTCAGGCTCTCTTGGTTTGTAGCCGAGGCCGCCGCTTTGGTCAGCGGCTGTTTCTGTTTCGGTCGCCAAACTTTCGTCGTCCGTCCGTCCGGTGGCTCCCTTATTAAAGGAAAGCGCTGTTAAAGCCCAGGGACCAAGAGACGCGTTTTCTTTCTCCCTACCGGTTTTAGTCGCCGCCAAAAGAAAGAGGGTTGGGGGGGAGCTGGAAAGGAGAGAGAGAGAGAGAGAGAAAGGTAAGGGAAATGATCGTACCCACCTTTTCTTTTCCTTTCTCTTTCTTCCTCCCTGGCCAGGACTCCTTCGCTCGCTTCTTTACAAGTTGCTGCTCCTGCTTCCTTTCTGAATTATGTTTTTATTCTCTCCCCGGCTCTAAGACGAAGATCCGGCCTTGAACGACTCTTCATTTATTTATTTATTTATTTATTTATTTATTGGTAAGAGGAAAACGATCCCTTTCAAAGTTACATACTCTCCCCGTCTTCCTTCACGCAACAAAGTTACAACGGGGCGAGTGGGGAGGGAGAGAAATAAGAGAAATTTTACTCAACCGCGCGGCCCATTAAAACTCCCCCTCCAAAAAAAAATCCTTAAACTTTCTTGAGGGGTCGCTAGTTTTGCCCCTCGCGCTTTTCGCCCCCTCTCCGTCTTTCCAAAAAAAAAGAAAGAAAGCTCTCCTCTTTGCAAGCGAGTCTCGAGCTCAGATGAAACACCCAGAAATGAGCGTCCGGGGAAGGAAGAAAGGGGGGTTTGGAAAGGGTATTTTTAAAAAACGCGCGCCACGTTGTCTATTTTTTTTTTTTTTTGCGAGACGCCTTTCCTCCGTTGTTGGGGTTTTGTTTTGTTGTTGTTGTTGTACTCGTGAGGCGACTCGTTGAGAGTTCCGGAGCAGCGCTCCCCGAAGCGACGGAAGGTCGGCGCGTGCGTGTCTAAGTGTGCGAGGTGAGGGCGGGAGGAACGGTGTTTACAGCTGACGGCCGCCGCTTTGCCATTGGCTGCTTTCTCGTGTGAGTAATTGGTCGAGCGCGGGGCGCGGGAGGGAAATTGGCACGTGGATGGATGCTGGCCCCGGGGGTCCTCGGGTCCCTGGCTGGCGGGGCTGAATTGGCGAGGCGCGCCTACTGTGCGCTGCGTTGCCTTTTTTTCAGTATTCCGCGTGGGGTTTCTCAAACCACCCACCCACCCCATGCGCTCCTCCTCTCCTATGGAGTAGTAAAATTAATTAATTAATCAAGTTTGTGGCCTGTAGTAAGCAAGCACTGATCCAGTGGTGAAATTAATTTTTTTACTACCAGTTTTGGTACCAGTTTTGTGGGTGTGGTTTGATGGGCGTTGCAGGAGAAGGATACTGCAAAATCTCCATTCCCATCCAACTCCAGGGGAAAGATACTGCAAAATCCCAATTCCTTCTGCACTCCTGGGGGATGGATATTGCAAAATCTCCATTCTCACCCCACTCTGGGGCCAGCCAGAGGTGGTATTTGCCGGTTCTCCAAACTAAATTTTTTCCCCACTATTGGTTCTGCAGAACCTGCTGAATTTCACCCCTGCACTGATCCCTTCCACTCCAAGGTTTTAAGGCAATGTTTCCTTAAATACACACCCACACACAGTTTTTGTCCTCTCACTAGAACCAAATAAGGAAAGTCACTGAGCCTTATTCTTAAATCAGTTGTTATAACTACTGGACCATTAGCCAATTTCTGTTAGGCCACATCAAGCCTGTTGAATGTCTGAATTCTTGCAAGTCGCAAGCTGTTTGCTTCATTTTGGAAAAGTAATCACTGTACATCTCTGGGAATGGATAGTTCTGCCCAAGTGCACTTCAGTTAGTTTGCTTTTTTTCAAGCTTGAAAGCATGGGACCAGATAGCAGTCTGGGCATGTGGTTTCCCCTTCTGCCTCATGGATTTCAGAGTGAGCCAACAATTGACTTGGATGTAAACATTCAGTCAAAGCTAAGAAGGCAAATTCTGGGCAGATGGCAAAGTCTATTAGTGCCTATCAGCTACTGCAAACACAAAAGAAATGTCAAGTGCTGCTTTCAGTGATTGCAACATGCCAGAGGACAAATAAGGATGATTGGCTGACATTACCTATCCTGTGAACTCAGAAACAACTGGTTAGGTAGTCTGTGGAAATAATATGCGAAAGACTCCCTCTAATATTAGCATAGGCACTAAGGTGTTGGTCTTTGGAATACATCCAGCTGTTCCTGAAGTTACATTGCCCTGCAATTGGTTATACAGTTAACATTTCACTTCAGAGGTTTAAGGTAGCAAATAATTTCTTACTGCATAATACTAAAGATTGATATCATTGGGTAGAATTGACATAATACTGGCTGGGTACTGAAATTATGTAGATCAGTCAATAATGAAATATCTTTTAGTCTCGCCTTTTTGCTCACTGACTTGCATAAGATTGGAACTTTCCATTTCTGCTTCTTTGGTGGAAAAGTTGAAGAAATAAATATATTTATTAATATTCTATTAATGAAGAAATAAATATATTCCTATTCCTTGCTGAAAATAATCAGATTGCTAGCAAACCTAGCAACCAAAATGTCTCAGGATAACTCTAAAATAGAGTTGTCCTTTATGTTTTAGCTACTGCAACTTTAAAAAGAACCAGCTTGGTATAGGGATTAAAGCCCTAGTCTAAAAACTGGGAAATGGTGAGTTATAGTCATACCTTAGTCACAAACAAATGTAATAAAAAATTTTTAAATCCTGTTACGTGGCCTTGGGCCAGGCACATTCTCTTAGCCCTAGGATATAGGCAATGGCAAACCACTTCTGAAATATTGGCAAAAAAAACTTCAGGAATTTGTTTAGGCAGTTGCCAAGAGTCAACACTGATTAGAAGGAACAAACAAACAAAGCAACAAATAAAACTATTAATCTTGAACTAATTACATGTTCCTATGTAACTAGTAAATAAAAAGTGTATTGTAAACCTCTACTTTCATTTGTTGCATAAAAATGTCTTTCCCCCTTTTATGTAGTTTAAAAAGAAGATCTTTAAGCCAGCATTTTCCAGACTGTGAGTGATCTCAGGTAAGACAGAAAGATTATTGGGAAATGAATAAGCTTATCTATCATCACTGTTTCATTCTATTTCAAGTCCATGCTTTTTTTTAGTACAGTAGTTTGTTTAGTTCAGAAGAAAAGCTGTGTTTATCTTACAGCTAAAAACCCCAAAGGTAAGGAGGAAGAGGAGGAGGAGGCTATATAGTTCCATAGTTCCATTTTCTTTTTGCCTATCATGTTACTGGACCTGGGTTTGCAGTTCCTCCATAAGAATGACTAAAGTATGAAGTAGCCTCAAGTATCCTTTTGAACTAGGGATACGGTGGCTCAGTGGCTAAGACGCTGCTTGTTGATTGGAAGGTCGGCAGTTTGATGGTTTGAATCCCTAGTGCTGCATAACGGGGTGAGCTCCTGTTACTTGTACCAGCTTCTGCCAACCTAGTAGTTCGAAAGCATGTAAAAATGATAGAAAGTAAAATGGAATAGGCTATTTTTATTTCTGTTCCAGCTTTCAAGTAAAATGAAGAAAGGAAGCTAAACAAGTATTAGACTCTTACAAAGCAGCCTTAACTTCTGATGATTTTCATGTACAATAATAATGGCAATAATAATGTTATTTACCATTCCTTGTTTCCAGTTTTGTTTTGTTTCTAATTTCATAGTCTAACACAATCCTGGAATTTCCTGAAAATTGTTCTCATTTAAGCATTAGTTTGGTCTGACCTTGCTTATCATTTTGAGATAGGTCATGGTTGGCCTGACCCATCTCAAATACCAGCTGCTATAGATAAAGATAGGCACCTTATTCAATAATTCATCATAAATGTTTTCTATGGAGTTTATATACTACCTTTTCCCAATTTGGGAAATTATACATTGTAAATGTGTCAGCTATACCTCTTTTATTAATAGCTTAGTTTAAAAATTGAATATATAACTTTGTACAATACTATAAATATCTAAGCAAATATTAAAAACAGACTTAATCATAAAACCTAAGATATCTAAATAAATGACTTTCGGTGAACCGAGTTTAAACTTTCAATCATTTAATGTTACTAAATGAATCATTTATTTATTTGACATATGCTTATTTGCTGCACCAAGATTGGTTGCCATTAGCTTTCTCCATTGTCTTACATCAGTTTTTCTTTTTGAAGCATTACTAGCTTTCCATCTGAATGTGATAAATTTAATGTAGACAGATGTTACGTTTAGCAGGGTCATTCTGCTGTTAAGCAGCACCAAACAAAATAGCAATAGCACTTAGACTTATATACTGCTTCACATTGCCTTTAGCCCTCTCTAAGCATTTTACAGAGTCTGCATATTGTCCCCAACTATCTGGGTTCTCATTTTACCAACCTCAGAAGGATGGAAGGCAGAGTTAATCTTGAGCCTGGTGAGATTTGAACTGCCAAACTGTTAGCAGCTGGCAGTCAGCAAAAGTATCCTGCAATACTGCATTCTAACCACTGCACCACCATGGCTCTAATAGCTGGATATACAGTTAAGGGTATGTAATTCTTTATTATTAATATATTTTTAAAAAAATATTATGCTTTTTCAGTATTAAAATATTGCTTGGAATTGTTTTTTACCACATAGTTTACTTGGCAAGTGAAAGTTACTTCTCTCTCTGAAGTATCTTATAACATAGTCTTGTATTGTTTATGAAGCCCTATTGAGCTTAATGGGATTTAATAGCAGGTAAATGGGGTATAGGATGATAGTTTTAATTAACATAATTAACTCATTAATTTTATATTTTAAGTAAATCACTTTAAAGATGATACAGATGACAGTTTAAGCGAAGAGGAATTTTAGAACTGATTTTTAAAAATACTCAGTAATTTTCCATAATTTCACACATATTGCATTAAATAATCCCAGGTGTCCTTGTGCTATTAATTTACATCTGATTATTAGAATGCTAATTCTGTTGTTATTAAACTAAGAATACTTTTGGGAAATTTGATCTGCCATCTTAACTAAGAAATAATGTTTTACATAAAGATCCTGGTGGAGCCAGAAACAGGCTTCCTTGTGGCTGCCCTAGTTCTTGGTTGTTTATTGGTTCGTTTGAGTGGAAGAATTGGTAGGTTGTCCTATTCTGGACAAATCTAGACAACGTTTTAGAAAACTTTGTTACTTTTATCCAAGATAATTCTACTTCCCTCTTGGTGAAGGCTTTTGGGACTGCCTTCAGAGGACTATCCAGTCTCTGAAGACCTCCAATGAAGTGGTAAAACAATTTCTAGCCAATCTTTTCCATTGATTGACAGCTCTTATCATCAGGTTGCTCACTGGTTGCTCTCCAAAGCAACAGGAACCAGGTCCATTCCGTCTTCTGAAAACAGAGCATGCCAATTTTATATCTTTTTTAAAAAGTACTCCCAGTATTTCATTTCCATTATCATGTTGTCATCCTCTGAACTTGTTTCAGTTTGTTGGTGTCATTTGATTGCAGTGCCCAAAATTGTAGATTGTACAATATTCCAAGTGAGAAAATAAAGCAGCTATCTCCCATGATTTTGTCTCCATTCTTTTTGTCATTTTATCAATTGTATCATGTTACTGGCTCAAATTATGATCTCCCAGACTATTTTGATCCATTTCACATGTATTACTGCTAAACTGGGTTCTATTACCCAATCCGACAGTATTGGCTTTCTTTTTTCTTTCTTTTTTCTTATAAGATGCAGGCTTTTAAATTTCTAAATCTAAATCCACCTGCTTACTGGACCCGTGCCCCTCCTGGC